CACTAGAACTGGTGGGTTCAAACCCAGCCCGGCCTTCTAAAGAACAATGACAACTACAACAAAAAAAAAATAGCTGGGCGGTATGGCAGGTGCCTGTAGTCCCAACTACTTGGGAGGCTGAGACAAGAGAATCGCTTAAGTTCAAGAGTTGTGTGTTTTTGGTTTTTTTTTTTTTTTGCAGTTTTTGGCCAGGGCTGGGTTTGAACTTGCCACCTCCGGCATATGGGGGCCAGCACCCTACTCCTTTAAGCCACAGGCACTGCCCCAAGTTCAAGAGTTTGAGGTTGCTGTGATGCCACGACACTCTACGGAGGGTGACATAATGACTCTATACAAAAAACAAAAACAAAAAATCCCCCACCACTCTTGACCTCACAGTTTTCCTTTTCTTTCTTTCTTTCTTTTTTTTTTTTGAGACAGAGTCTTGCTTTGTTGCCCTTAGTAGTGCTGTGGTGTCACAGCTCACAGCAACCTCAAACTCTTGCGCTTAAGCAATTCTCTTGCTTCAGCCTCCTGAGTAGCTGAGACTGTAGTCACCTGCCACAATGCGCGGCTATTTTTTGTTTGTTTGCTTGTTGGTTTGTTTAGCAGGCCTGGGCCGGGTTCAAACCCAGCAATCCTGGATTATGTAGCTAGTGACCTAACCACTGAGCTACAGTTGCCCCAACCTCACAGTTTTCATTCTCCTTCACTGCATTGTCTTCTGTTTATCTCTAGGAAGGCCAGCAGCCCTCACCACTACCCCCTACATCTCTCCTTATCCAGGCTTTGGATGAGAAGTGTCTAAACCCAAGGGTCACAGCTCAGTCCCTGCCTTCTTCTGATGAGTCCTCTGTTACTGGAAACATTGTCTTCATGTAGCCCCAGACCCCACACTCTTCGGCTCTCCTTCCCCCTCTCTGGGACACCTTTCCCCTAGGGTCTAACCCTGGGCTGAATCCTCCCTCCTCTACCCACCACCCCTTCCAGGTGGCTTCATCCACCTCACAGGTTCCAAACCCTTCTCCACTTGATGATGGCTACAGAATGGTCTCCAGCCTAGAACTCCCCTAGACTTGGGTCCAGCTGCCCCTCAGTGTCCCCATTTAGATATTGATGAGGCCTCTTTCTCAAATTTAATAAAAAGAGCCACCCTTTCCTGCCTGCAGAGGGCTTTTACACAGCATCATGTCTCCTCCCAGGAGAGCCAAGGTCTTACAGCCACAGGCAGAGCTGGAATTGAGCCTGGGTCTCCCTCACCACCTGCCAGGCTACTCTGACCTGCCCTGACCTGACTTCATAGGCTCCTTTGCCTCAGACTTCCTAGCTCAGCGGTTCTCAACCTGTGGGTCTCGACCCAAAGGAACTGTATTAAAAGGCCGTGGCATTAGGTCGGTTGAGAACCATTGTCCTAGCTCATCATTCTAGGTGCTCAGCCTAAAAACACTAGGGTGTGATTAGTTTAAAATCTATCCCAAATCTGCCCACCTGGAACACTGTAGAGTAGACCCTCTGCCTTGATTCCCAGCTCCTACCCTCACCTCCCATGATCTGTCCTCCCTGAAGCAGCCACCAGAGGGCACCTGTGAGTGCCTCTCCCTCTGTCTACAGCCCTCCATGGCTCCCACCTTCCTCAGAGTCAAAACCAAGTCCTCCCTGCAGCCCACCAGGCCCTGCACAACCTGCCTCGTCCCTTCCCCACACTTCCCTGTCTCTGCTCCTCATTCTACTTCAATCACATAGGCCTTGCTGTGCCTCTAATACACAAGGCATTGTCCTGCCCTATCTTGCTTAGAATGCTTTTCCTCCTGATATTCCTTCACCTGGTTCCCTTCCTCCTCCAGGTCTCTGCTCAAATGTTACCTCCTCATTGAGGCCTTGACCATTCTCTTTTAAGCTGTGACTCACCTCTCTCACTGGATCCCCCCACCCCAATCTATACCACTCCTCCCTTCTATTTCTTTTCTTTTCTTTTCTTTTTTTGGAGACAGAGCCTCAAGCTGTCACCCTGGGTAGAGTGCCATGGCATTACAGCTCACAGCAACCTCCAACTCGTGGGCTCAAGTGATTTTCCTGCCTCCGCCTCCAAAGTAGCTGGGACTGCAGGAGCCTGCCACAATGCCCAGCTATTTTTTGGTTGCAACCGTCATTGTTGTTTGGCGGGCCTGGGCTGGATTCGAACCTACCAGCTCAGGTGTATGTGGCTGGTGCCTTAGCTACACTCCTCCCTTCTAATATGTCATTTACAAAGATGTGTCTTTCTTAGCATCATCTCCCCGCCTGAGCTGTCAGCTCCATGAGGAGCTGATTTGGGTCTTTCTTATTCACAGCTGCATCCTAGCACCCAAGAGAGAGCCCAGCCCTCTTGTATTACAGGTGCTCTATACATATCAGGTAGATGGACAAAGAAGGAGCCCACTGTGAGAAAGACCTGGACCCAGGGCATTCTGGGGAGAAGGAGCCGCAAGTGCAAATGCCCTGAAGCACGTATGGCTGGCAGAGTGGTGGCTGCGCTGAAAGAGGGAGGGGGGGCTGGTGGGTGGAAGTGATTTGCGACATGACTAATGCAGGCAGATGGTGGCTGAGGGGAAAGCCACCCAATCCTCTTAACTCTAGGTCCCTTAATACTTCCGCTGTGTGGGTTACGTCCGGGCCACCCCAACACTCCAGGTGGCCACCATGCCAGGGTTGGGGAACCAGGAGGAGGCCGAGGGCTGGAGCCCAACCCCTCCAATGTATGAGGAGTACCGGCCTCCCCCACTGGATGCCATCCGCCTGCCCAGGTACGTGCTGTACCTCCTGCTGGCCGCGCTTGTGGTGGTAGCTGTGGCCTACGCCATCGTCGGGCACCTCATCAAAGACCTGGCCCACGACCTGGCTGGTGAGCCATTCTCCACTGCAGTCTGGGCTCCCGCTAGGCCTCATGGGGGTGGGGGCTGAGGGAACACCCCTGGCCAACAAGAGGATGGATGGCAGGGGTGGGGATATTTCATGGCCAGGGAGGCTCCTTACTTCTGCCCTGCCGCAGACTGGGCGTTTGGCCCAAAGCCGGACCAGGAGGATGCCCCCCGTGAGTTGCGCCCCAGCCTGGCTGGTGAGGACCTGGAGGAATTGGACCTGCAGCTGGCCCTGGCCTGGCGCGGTGATGAGGACACCGGTGCGGGTAGTGAGGGGGCCCTCGTGGAAGCCCCCCCTGCTCGGGACCCCCGCCGCCCCTCTATCACCTTCAGAGAGCCCCCGACCCGAAGCTCCTTCTGGAGGCTGAACTGAGCTGGGCCTTGGACCCAGGTTGCGGCCCCTTTGGCAGCGGTGTAAATGGAACTTGTGTACACTGGAGCCTTTCTTAGCACTGACTGGCCCCTTGTGGTGGAGAACATTCTCTTTCCTGGATGGCAGGTTCTCAGGTTTGATCACTGGCTAATTCCTCACATCTGACTGCAACCCCAGAGCCTGCTCTGCTCAGCCCCAGCTGAGCTGTCAGCAATCTGTAAACTGAGAAAACAATTTAAAAAAATTATAGTGGGATTGAAGCTTACCTAGTGCTCAGTATGTACCTGCGGCTATGCTGAGCAAGCCCTTTTCAGGTTTTAGGGGCTCATTTAATCTCGCTTAATCCTCCAGGGTAGGACTTATCCCATTTAACATACGGGAAACTGAGGCACACAGTGGTGCAATGGCCTCACCGAGGTCTCAGAATAGAGGACCTTTCTTAGAAAGAGTGCTGTTGGCTCGGCGCCTGTGGCTCAAGTGGCTAAGGGGCCAGCCACATACACCTAAGGTGGCAGGTTCGAATCCCCAGCCCGGGCCCACCAAACAACAATGATGGCTGCAACCAAAAAATAGCTGGGCGTTGTGGCGGGTGCCTGTGGTCCCAGCTACTTGGGAGGCTGAGGCAGGAGACTCGCTTGAGCCCAGGAGTTGGAGATTGCTGTGAGCAGTGAAGCCTGCCTCTACCCAGGGGGACAGCTTGAGGCTCTGTCTCAAAAAAAAAAAAAAAAGAAAGAGTGCTGTTGACCAACTTAGGAAGACAGAAGCTCTGAGGCAGATCCTGTCCCCAGCTGCCTTGCTGCCCCTAACCCCACAACCTCCAAATCTTCCTTACCCATCACCTTGGCTGCTGATTCTGTTTGTTTCTGGGGGCCCTGACTTCCCAACCAGACCAAGAGCTCCTGGGGTATAGTGTTGAGGTTTCCTTCCCTGCTAAAACTGATATAACATCTGGCACCCGGTAGGAGTTAAATATATGCCTGCCTGGCAGGTGCCCTATAAACACGTGCGCAGCAACTCACACACAGGCCTTCCTGCCATGCGCTTGGGTTATGGTTGGGGTGGGGTCCCCCTTTGCCCAGGCAGGAGCCACTATCTAATCAACTTGGGGAACCAAGGTTGAGGGCAGGAGATCTTGGAACCTGAGTCATCTGCTTCTCAGGGTGTCCCCATGAGGGGCATCCTGGTTTGGAGGTGGACCGCACACATAGCCTTCTTGTCCCTGTGTGTACCCTCAAGCTGGTTGTGGGCCTCCAGGGGCCAGGAGCCAGGTAGAGGCAGCATAAGCTGGTGTTGAGGGAGACATGGGTTTGAATCCCAGCTCTGACACTTGCTGCACCACCTTGGCTCTCCCTGGCTCTGTATAGTGAGCGGGTCTGGCAAAATCTCATGGGAGGGTTAAGAAAAGGAAATTAAATGTGTAAAATCATTGAGCATAGACCCACATGGGCACTCTGTGAGCACAGAAAGGGACTCTTGTTATTCTATTGTAGTTATATTTGTGAGTTCATCCACCTACAGGCACACAGGGACAGGGGGCTCAGATGGGGAAGGGCGGGAATGGGGAGGGGGTGACACAGTCTGATTGTGGCCCTTAGGGCAGAGTGCCAGGGGAGGGCCGTACTCTCAGAGTTAATTGTTATACAGGGTCCAGAGTCCGCCCTCCTAGTGTGTCGGGGGCAATGGGGCAGGAGTGGCTGAGGAGGGGGTGGGTACCCAACCAGCTGGTGCCTGTGGAGGGGCCTCCTTCCATATTCAAGCCTTCCCTGCCCAGACCCCGCCTGCTTCTGTCTTATCACGATGGGCAGGGCCTTACCCGCCCTAGGCCTGTGGATGCCACTTGGGACTGCTGCTTCCTGGCTGCCAGCTGGCTTCATGATCATGGAGACCCTGGAGACTTTCCTTGTGCTGCTGCTAGGGGTCCTCTTCCTCCCTGCCGTGGAGGCCCAGCAAGGTAGGTACAGGGGTGGCTGGGATGGGAGGGTGTCCTGGGGATGGAGTTGGCTGGAGGGTCTCCTTCTCCCTATTTCCCAGGATGAGAAACTGAGGCCTGGGAGGGGGGGCAGGAAGAGGAGGAACTGAGGCCTCCAGCGGGGCAAGCTGGAGGGCCCCTGCTTGAGCTCCTTTCCCAGCCCTGCCCCCCTCTGAACCCCTAGGCTGCCTTCCCTTCTCCAATTTCCAAGACCCCCTCTGTCTGAGCAGCTCCCGAGTACCCTCCTCCCTCTTCCCTTCCTGGGAGGAGGCCTTGCCCTTCTCTGTCTCTGAGTCTTGCTTCCCCCAACTCCTGACAGCCACAGAGCGTCGCCTGAAGCCATGGCTTGTAGGCCTGGCAGCAGTGGTGGGCTTTCTGTTTATTGTCTTTGTCCTAATGTTGGCCAACCGCATCTGGTGCTCCAAGGCAAGGTAGGAGCCCCCATCCCCTCCCCTCCTAGACCCCCACCCCAGAGCCTAGATTGTAGGCCTACACCAATCATTGGTGCCTCCCCAATCACTGATCCAATAGCCATGTGGCCCACCCCACTCCTGTTTCGTGGAGTTCATGGGTCCCAGTGTGGGAGGAAAAGAGGCTGGGGCTGTCCCCTCCTATCACCCCCACCTCCATCTCTGCAGGGCTGAGGATGAGGAAGAGACTGCGTTCAGAATGGAGACCAACGTATACCACGATGTGCACCTGAGGTACCATTGTGTGCCTGGACCTGTGTGGGTGCTGGGGGGGGTGTCTGTGTGAGTCCTATCCTTGGGGTAGGGATGATGACTTCTTACTGCCCTGAATCCCTGCAGCACATTCCTGCTCCAGGGCTTTTGTACTTGCTGTTCCCACCTTTCCTGTATCTTCTAGCTACCTTCTCCTTCAGTCCCTGCTCAAGTTTCCACCTCATGGAAGTCCAGCCTGGCTACTAGATTTCCTGACACTCTGTCCCATAACCCTGTGTTTCATTCACACTTAACACCAGCAGAAACTATCTCAGTCATTTACTAGTTCCCTTGTTTCCTTCCTTCCATCCTTCCTTCCTTTTTCTTTCTCTCTTTCTCTCTTTCTTTCTTTGTTTCTTTCAACAGTCTTACTTTGTTACCCTCCATAGTGTGCAGTGACATCACAACACAGTTCACATCAACCTTAAACTCTTTTATTTATTTTTTTTTTAAGAGACAGAGTCTCACTTTGTCGCCCTTGTTAGAGTGCTGTGGTGTCACAGCTCACAACAACCTCCAGCTCTTGGGCTTAGGCGATCTCTTGCCTCAGCCTCCCAAGTAGCTGGGACTACAGGTGCCCACCACAAGACCCAGCTATTTTTTTTTGTTGTTGCATTTTGGCTGGGGCTGGGTTTGAACCCGCCACCCTTGGTATATGGGGCTGGCCACCCTACTCACTGAACCACAGGCACCACCCAACCTTAAAACTCTTAATCTTGAGCGATTCTCCTGTCTCAGTCTCCTGTAGCTGGGACTACAGGCACCCACCATGACACCCGGCTATTTTTAGAGACAGGAGTCTCACTCTAGCTCAGGCTGGTCTCAAACCTGTGAGCTCAGGGCAGTCCATCCTGCTCAGCCTCCCAGAGTGCTAGGATTACAGGCATGAGCCACCGTACCTGGCCTTCTCCCTCTCCTCTCCTCTCTTCTCCCCTCCTCTTCTCTCCCTTCTCCTCCCCTCCCCTCCCCTCTCCTCTCACAGCATACCAATTGAAACATTCACTAGTTTCAAGGCACTAGATGGCGCCTTCCAGGACATGAGAACTTAGTTAGCTTTGATCCTGGCTGTATTCCCCCAGAGCTTGTCTGACACACAGTAGGCACTCAATAAATACCTGTTGAACAAGACTGTGGGTGGGATTATGCAGGCATCTGGAAGATTCTCAACTGAGTCCAAGATGTGCCTGAGGAACAGGTATGGACCTGGGTGTTGGCTTTGTCTGCGACCCAGCTCAGCCCTAGTAAAATGTGCTTTCTACTACCAGTATGTGTTGGCGGATCCAGAGCCCACCTGTGCTCTTACATCTGTGGTGTCCTCCCTGCCATGTTCATTCCTCCATCTAGCCACCCGGTCATCTATATGCCCATCTACCCATCTGCCTATCCAATCTTTGCCCACAAATTATCCATCCATCAGTCTACCTACCCATCACCCCTCTGATCCATCCATTCATCTATTCATCCATTCATCCATCCATCTGTCCTATCTGTCCATCCTCCACCCGTTCACCCATCCACCCATCTACCTACCTATTCATCTACTTATACATTCACCCATCCATCTGGCTATGCAGTCTTCACTCTCTAACCATTCATCCATCAATCCACCTATCCATTTAGCCCATTGATCCAGTCACTCATTTATACTCCATACCACCTCCATTCACTTAGCCACTGATCCATCATTCTCTCCTTCCCGCACTTCCTTCATTTATTTTCCCATTCATTTATTAAAACCTCATGCAACTATCCATTCATCTAAGTACTTATCCATTCAACCTTCCACCATCTACCCGTGTACCTACCTACCCATCCATCCATGGAGCAGATGAGCCTTAGTTTCTCCCTTTTTGAAATGGAAGTTGTGAGGTTGCCTAGTTAGAGGTATTTTGGAGATTCATGGAGATATTACTTATAAAACACATAACATGGCTGACACAGGTGAGTGTCCATTAAATAGGAGTGACTTTGTTTCTTATTATGGGGTCTGGGAACTTTGTATCCTTACAGTAAAGAAGACAAGAAGGAGAAGAAAAGGAAGGAGAAAAAGACAGAGACAGAAGGAGAGAGCAACTCAGGATTGGAGCTGGATGAAGAAGAGCAGCGCAGAGACCATGAGAAAACAAAGAACACGGCCATGTGAAGACTCCCTGCAGCCTTCTCCAGGAAGCTCCCTTAGAGCTGCCCCTTTGCCACCCCATATGCAAAGCTCTGGTCTTGAAGCCAGAGAAATGACTCCATCTAGGACTCAGAATACAGTAGTCCTGAGTGAAGAGGGCATGGGACCCACCCTGCCTCCTTCTTCAGGCATTCCATAGTTTTCATGCACCCTCTTCCTGAGCTAGGTCCTGCTGGGTGATTCTTTTGTACTTGGAGAGCATCCCTGGTTAAGGAGACACCCTCTATTCCTCATAATCTCATGGTTCCACCTGCTACCCACTGCCTGATTTCTGTTCCCTCTATCTGATTTCTAGTGGCAAGAACTTTCCTGCTTCCCATGCAGCCCAGACTGAAGGCCACAAATTAAAGAAGGCCCCTTTAAAAGGGGTCCTGTCATCTCTTGGGCATCAGTTCACCCCTGGGAGAGACTGCTTTTGGGGCCAGGTGCATGGAGGACCATGCTGCACAGAAGCACAGATATCCTGGGCAAATTAAAGACTTCTTGGCAATCTTGTTTTTGCTGACCTGAGCATTGGACTTTGAGCCCTGAGCGCCATCTTCTGGGAAACCTTTGCTCCCTCCGTCTCATATTTTGGGGCTTATGACTTGTTCTGGGAGCTGGGTCTTGGAGGGCAGGGTGCCCCAGGACCCTGCAGTATCTTGGAAAGGGAGGAGCACTTTCTCTTCTCAGTTTGTTTTTCCTCTTCCTCTCACTTTCTCTGGACCCTGGACATTGCCCTGGACATTAACCATTTCTTAATGAGGATCTTGATAAAGACTGGGTTTAGGGCTCTGTTTGGGGCCCACCCCAGAGCCTGGGAGCTTCTTTCTAAGAACACCTCCAGGATGGTCCACCAGGGGACAAAAACCCAAATAACTAACTACAATAAATGGCCCTAATAGATGCTCCCACTGAATGCTATTATCTTGATCCTTTCTCATTTTCCAATAACAAAAAATTAGTCCCATTTTCCATCTGAAAATACCAGCTGAGGTTTAGAAAGAGGGAAGTCATAAAGGCAGGTCTCACTGGCTGATGGAAAGGGAGGGCCAGGATCCTAGGCTTCTCCCAGAATGCAAGCATTTGGAGAGTCATATGATAGGGAGTGTGTGTGAAGTGTTCTTCCCAGGCTGTGGTTCCCAACTTGGAGACCAAAAACTGTGCAGCTCTGGAATGCTGTGTGACCCTGGGAAGGTGGCCTAACCTCTGAGCCTCAAGTTGGCTACCCTATGTAAGGTGAAGAGAAGAGTTCTGACCTTCTGAGACTTGAGACTTGAGAAGTTTGTAGGAGGTGCTGGGGCTTATTGAGTCATTGCCAGGCCTGGAGCTTCCTAGGTGCTCAGGAAATGAATCTCCACCTTTTTACTGACTGTGGGGAGTGGGGGTCCAGGTGGGTCTCAGAGAGACGGGGTTCTGGAATGCTCAGCTCCTCTCCAGAGTGCCCAGAAGGCAGGGAAGGGGGCCTAACATCCCACTTCCTACAGTGCAGGTCATGCTGTGTGGAGGGGTGCCCCATTTTCTCCTCTGGCCTGGGATTGCATCTCATAATTTGTTGGTCAGGAGCGAGAATAGACTGACAGGGAGGGTCAGATCCTGGAAGACCCCTTCACAAGGCTGATTTACTCTTCTCACAACTGTAGCCCAGCAGCTGGCTCATGCCCAATCCTGTAAAGGCATTGGTCTGAGGGACAGCGGGGTGGGGAGCGGACTCCGGCCTCAATCTCACTGCCAGGCCACTGCCCCAGCCCTGGCCCTTTTGCACGCAGCGGTGGAGGCAGTGGGTTGGGACTCCCGCGCCACGCCCCTTTAGCCTCGCCTCTCTTCGAGTCCTGCACCCCTCTGATCTTTCCCCCATCCAAGCCCTGCCCTTCTGGGAGCCCTGTTTTGTTGAAGCTTCACCTCCTCCCCAGCCCTCTCGCCTCCTTCTGGAAGCCTTGTGGCCCAATAATGTCCTACAGGGAGAGAGTTCAGGGAGGGTGAGGAGCTCAGGGCTGGGAGTAATTCTTAGATTCAGAATTAAAGGGCTTCACTGACCTCCCTCCTGACTAACCCCATCCCCTAATATGTTTTTCAACAGCATCTGTAAAGTCTTCGTGGCCCCATCCCCGTCTATTTATCCATTTAGCCATCTGCCTATTCTTCCCTCCATCCTGCTTCATCTTTCTGACATCCATTATTCTATCCATCCAACCCTCCATCCATTCCCTATCCCTCCATCCATCCATCCGTTCATCTGTCCACTCACCCAACCATCTGATTATCCGTCCACCCTTCCATCCTTTCACTTATCCATCCATCCACCCACTCATACATTCATCATCCATCCACCTTCCTCCATCCCCTCATTAACCCATCCACCCACCAATCTGCCTGTCTATTTGCCTGCCCACTCATCCACACTAGTTCGTTTGTTTGTTTGTTTTCTGAAACAGAGTCTAACTCTGTTGCCCTGGGTAAAGTGCCATAATGTCATGATAACTCTCAGCAACCTCAATCTCTTGGGCCCAAGAGATCCTCTTGCTTCAGCCTCCTAAGTAGCTGGGACTACAGGCACCCACAACCCACCCTGGCTAATTTTTTTTTGGGTGGGGGGACAGAGTCTCACTATGTCACCCTTGGTAGAGTGCTGTGGTGTCACAGCTCACAGCAACCTCAAACTCTTGGGCTTAAAAGATTCTCTTGCCTCAGGTTCCCAAGTAGCTGGGACTACAGGTGCCTGCCACAATGCTCGGCTATTTTATGGTTGCAGTTGTCATTGCTGTTTAGCAGCCCTGGGCTGGATTTGAACCTGCCAGCCTCCGGTGCATGTGGCCAGCACCATAACCACTGTGTATGGGTGCTGAGCCATGCCTGGCTATTTTTAGAGATGGGGATCTAACTCTTGCTCAGGCTGGTCTTGAACTCCTGAGCTCAAGCAATCAACTCATCTTCACCTCCCAGGGTTCTACAGGTGTGAGCCACTATGGCCGGGTCATATATATATATATATTTTTTTTATCATTAGAGAAGATTTTATTTTTTTCATTCTTTTTAAATTTCAGATTAATATGAGGGTAATTCACACTGTTTTGAGATCCAGGAAATCAGAGAGGTTTAGAGGTCAACAGTGAGGGTTGGCTCATGTACTCAAGGGTGGCCTCCACCACTTTCTCCTTGTTCAAATCAAGGCAAGTATATTGATCTGAGCTCTCTGACTCTCAAGTGTCCTCTTCTGTAAAATGGGGACAAGGAGGACGCAGGACTTATTGGAAGTTTTGTGAGAATTGTAATAGGTTGGAACACTGTTGGTCCTTATGAAATTAGATTATCAAGGTGTTGTTATTGTTGTTGATGTTGTTTTGAGACAGAGTCCCACCCTATGCCCCTGAGCAGAGTTCAGTGACTTGGTAGCTCACTGCAATCTCAGACTCCGGCTTGTGAGCATCCTGCTGCCTCAGCCTCTGGAAGCCGCTAGGATTATAGGCGCTCCCCAAGGTGCCCAGCTGGGTTTTTCCATTTTATTCATGAGTTGGGGTCTCACTCTTGCTCAGGCGAGTCTCGAACTCCTGAGCTCAGGCGATTCTCCCTCCTCAGCCTCCCAGTGTTGGGATTACAGGCGTTAGCCACCGCGCCTGGCTGTTGTGTTTTTAATCTGGGTCCTTCTTGTCTTGACAGCAATAAAGAGAAGGAAGAAGAGACCCCAAAAGGAGAAGGATAAAAGAGGGTAACGAGGCCCTGAAGCTGGAGGAGGGAGAGTGGCCTCCAAGCCATGAAAGAATGGAGAACTTCCTAGGTTAAGCCTGCTTCCTCCAGGCAGCCCACCAGAGTTGCTCCAATGCCTCTCCCATGTCCTATAAGAAATGACCTGGGGCTTGGCGCCTATAGCTCAACCGGCTAAGGCACCAGCCACATACACCTAAGGTGGCAGGTTCGAATCCCCAGCCCGGGCCCGCCAAACAACAATGATGGCTGCAACCAAAAAATAGCTGAGTGTTGTGGCGGGCACCTGTGGTCCCAGCTACTTGGGAGGTGGAGGCAGGAGACTCGCTTGAGCCCAGGAGTTGGAGGTTGCTGTGAGCTGTAATGCCATGGCACTCTACCCAGGGGGACAGGTTGGGGCTCTGTTTCAAAAAAAAAAAAAAAAAGAAATGACCTGGTCCTGGGGTCAGCAAAATGACTTTATCTGGGGTTCAGGGAAAATTTTTCCTGGATGAAGAGGACTCAGGACCCACCACCCTCTTATAAATCCCTTTCCCAAGCTTGGTCCCCACCCAATAATTCTTGAGCTTGGGTGGCACCCTTGGGCAAGGAGCTCTTCCCCTCACTGAGCCCTTCCCACCTCCTCCCACTGTGTGCTGAGTTTCAGGTTGTTATGGAAGCTACAACTCTCAGGGGTTGGGGTATAGGCAGGGGTTCACAACATCACCCCCTTTTCCTGTCCTACACTTCCCGGAAGTGGCTCCATTGAGAAGGCAGAGTCCCAACTTCCTTGCTATGTGTCCTCAGGCAATTTCCTTAGCCTCTCTGTGCCTCAGCGACCTGCCCCATTAAAGGAAGATCCTTCATAAGCTGTCATGAGGATTAAGTGAAATAATTTGTACAACAATCCTGAGCATTGGGACTGCAGAACCCAGAAGTAATGGGTTTCAGCTTTTGTTGAAATGGAGAAGATGGTATAAAACGAGCCTCTTTAAGGTCAGAGGTTGTGTTTTTAGACCACAGCTCGGGGAGCGCAGGAGTTTTCTGCCTCCGGTCTCCCCAGTCGGGGGTCTGGGTGTTTTTTTGTGGGGGGAGGGGGAGGGGCTGGTGATTGGAGGGAAAAGAGGAGGTCAGGCTTATCTGGACTCCTCCTCCGTTTCCGCAGTAGGCGGGACTTCGTTACTAGGGAGCATGCAGACATTTTTTGCGAGGAGGTATTTTTGGTAACAAGTGTGCCCGGGTTTTATGGAAGTGGTCAGGGAGGGCAGTCAGCTTGCAGCGATGATGACCTCCCACAGCCCAGAGCTGCGCCATCCAGGGACCAATGGCTGAACACCACTGAAGCTTTCTTTGCAATCCAACTACCGGCTGAGCCCCTACCTGGCTGAATCTCCACCCCGCCTGAACCTTCGACTCCCCATCCCAGCCGAGATCCCGATCCCGGCTGAGACCCCTTGCCCCAGCTGCGCCCCGACCCTATTGAGAGCCCCCTCAAGCTGGGCCCTGACCCCCATCCCTGAGGTTCCAATCCCGGCTCTGAGAGTCCCCCCAACCCCAGCTGAGCCCTGACCCTCACCTCGGCTAAGAATCTGTCTGAGACCTCCAGCCCAGCTGAATGCCCTTAACTCCAGCAGAGACGCTCACCCCCACTCCACCCCAACTGAGACCTCAACTCCCGCTGAGCCTCCCGCAGTCCCTGCTGAGACTACCACCTCCATCCTAGCTGAGCTCTCGGCCCAGGCTGAATCCCCCACCCGGCTGAGCTCCCACCCCAGCTCAACCCCCACCCTGTAGAAGAGGCTCCTGCTGGAGCCCCATTTCTTGCTGCGGAGGGGACATGGGCTGTAGGGATGGGGGAGGAGATGAGGGAGCAGCAAGCGGGCCCCTCCTTCGGGAACCTGGCTTTCCGGTTGGGGTCCCCAACAGGGGACACCAGAGGGCGCCAGAACCTTGCTGCTTAGGGTAAAGATGCCCACCCGAGTTGGGGTGGGGCTTGGAAAGGAGTTTCCGATGGCGGGTCCAGAATGTGTCTTCCGTGCCTGTCACCGGGCGGCGTCTTGGGGCTGAGTATCTGCGTGTCACTATGGACTTCCTGTGCCTGGGGCCCTCGCAATGCTTCTGCTACCCTGCTCTGTGCCTCAGTTTCCCCATCTGTAAAAATGGATAGACTTCTTCCTGCCTTGTAGTCTTGTGCATGGATGGGAGAGAAGGGCCCTGTGCAGCAAAGAAAGCTTTGCT